AGGGAGAAGAGAGAGGGAGAGGAAGAGAGAGGGAGAGGAAGAGGGAGAGGGTGAAGAGAGAGGGAGAGGAAGTGGGAGAGAGAGGGAGAGGGAAAACAGAGAGTGAGAGGAGGAGGGAATGGTATAGGAAGGGAAGAAAGAGGGAAAGGAAGAAGCTGATGGTGACGATGTTGATGATGGTTGTGATAATGACAGAGAGAAGCCGGTGTGACAAATGAAGGTTTTTTTCTTTCTTTCTTTTCTTTTTTTTTTCTTTAAGAAATAGAGAGAAGAAATACAATCTTTTGATATCCTTAAAGACGAATTTACTCCCTGATATATTTGTGTGTCAAAGGGGATCACTCACTCCCCCCCCTCCCCCCCTCCCTCCCTCTTTTTCTGTCTCTATCTATCTATCTATCTATCTATCTTATCTCGCTATTAGCATAAAAACGTGGTTGTGTGTGTGGGGGGGGGGAGGTCGGTTATTGCCAATAAAAATGTGGCCTTTGTCTCGTTTTAAGAGCAGGGACAGCGGCAGGGGTAAGGGTAGGGGTAAGGGTAAGGGTAGGGGTAGGGACAGGGGCCGGGGGAGGGGGAGGGGGAGGGAGATATGTGGAATATTTCCTTCGAAAAAATGAAGGTGCGAGAAGGGTATAATATTTCGTTTTTATGATCATGCTTGTATTCAGCCGACATTTTTTTTTCTCATATATATATATATATTTTTTTTTATTCTTTTCTTTCCTCCGTCCCTCGCTCTTTCGCTTCTTCTCTTCCCCTTTCTCCTTCTCTCTTTCCCCCTCTCCCACGCTGATACTCTTTCTTCCTTCCTCGGTCCTTCCCTCCCCTCCTCTCTCTTCCATTCCCTCCTTTCCTCCCACCCTCTCTCCTCTCCCTCCTTTCCTCCCACCCTCTCTCCTCTCCCTCCCTTTCTCCCTTCCTCTCTCCTCTCCCTCCTTTCCTCCCACCCTCTCTCCTTTCCCTCCCTTTCTCCCTTCCTCTCTCCTCTCCCTCCTTTCCTCCCACCCTCTCTCCTCTCCCTCCCTTTCTCCCTTTCTCCCTTCCTCCCTTCCTCCCACCCTCTCTCCTCTCCCTCCTTTCCTCCCACCCTCTCCCCTCTCCCTCCCTTCCTCCCACCCTCTCCCCTCTCCCTCCCTTTCTCCCTTCCTCTCTCCTCTCCCTCCTTTCCTCCCACCCTCTCTCCTCTCCCTCCTTTCCTCCCACCCTCTCTCCTCTCCCTCCCTTTCTCCCTTCCTCTCTCCTCTCCCTCCCTTCCTCCCACCCTCTCTCCTCTCCCTCCTTTCCTCCCACCCTCTCTCCTCTCCCTCCCTTTCTCCCACCCTCTCTCCTCTCCCTCCTTTCCTCCCACCCTCTCTCCTCTCCCTCCCTTTCTCCCACCCTCTCTCCTCTCCCTCCTTTCCTCCCACCCTCTCTCCTCTCCCTCCTTTCCTCCCACCCTCTCTCCTCTCCCTCCTTTCCTCCCACCCTCTCTCCTCTCCCTCCCTTTCTCCCTTCCTCCCTTCCTCCCACCCTCTCTCCTTCTCTCCCTTTTTTTCTTCCTTTTCTCCCTTGTTCGTCTCGCTCCCTTTTTTTCCTTCTCTCTCCCAAACTGTAAACTACTGGGACAGAACAGTAATATAGATGTACAAGACGGCCTTGGAGATATCACCCCCCCCCCCATAACCTCCCTCCTTCTCCCCCTTCCCCCTTCCCCCCTTCCCCCTTATTCCTTCGGATCCCCTCACTTATCCTCCCCCCCCCCTTTCCCTCTTCCCCTCCCTCCCTCTCCCTTCTTACCTGCCTCTTATCCCTCTCTCCACCCTTCTCTCCCTCTTCCTTCCTACTCACTCTCTTATTCCTCCATCCTCTTATTCCTTCCATCCTTCCCTCTCCCATCTCACCTCTTCCCTTTCCCCTCCCTCTCCCCCCCTTTCTTCCCCCCATCCTTACCTTCCCCTCTCCCCCCCCTTCCCTCTCCCATCTCCCCCATCCTTCCCCCCTTTCCCTCTCCCATCTCCCCCATCCCTCCCCCCTCCCCCCCTTCTTATCCCCCCTCCCCCCCTTCTTACCCCTCCCCCCCCTCTTACCCTCATGTCAGTAAGTTTACGGAAGCTTATTAACTATTGGCAGGTGTCTCCGGGCCGGTTCCCTCACACCTGTCCTCGTCGCCGGACTGACGCTCTCCCATTTACGTATTTGTGTGTGTGTGGGGGGGGGGGACGACGTAGGGGAGGGAGGAGGGTTGGTGTGGGGGTAGATGTAAGGGGGGGGGGAGTGTGTGGGGGGGTGGATTTGTGGGTGGATGTGGGTGGGTAGATGTGTGGGTGTGTGGGTGGATGGATTGTGGGAGTGTGTGGGTGGGTGGATGTGTGGGGGGTTGGGTGTGGGTGTGAAGACGTGGGGATGTGGGGGGGGGGGATGTGGAGGATTGAAAATAAATAAGATAAAAGTAATATCAAATAAAATGAATAGATATATAAGGGGAGAGAGAAGGGGGAGAGGGAGGTAGTATGAAAGGAAGGAAGGAAGGAAGAAAGGAAGAAGGGAGAGAAAGGGAGAAAGGGAAGGAGGAGAAAGGACAAGGGATCGTCATGTGCTTCTGGAATGTTGGGTTGGGTAGCGGGGGAGGGAGGGGGGGGGTCCTGCGCTCTGTGTGGCTGTGCGTCTGTCTGTCTGCCTGTCAAATTGTCTGCTTTTGTTATTATTCTTTTCCCCCCTTCCTTTTTTGTTTATATTATCTTTTCTCTTTTATTCTCTCTCTCTCTCTCTCTCTCTCTCTCTCTCTCTCTCTCTCTCTCTCTCTCTCTCTCTCTCTCTCTCTCTCTCTCTCTCTCTCTCTCTCTCTCTCTCTCTCTCTCTCTCTCTCTCTCTCTCTCTCTCTCTCTCTCTCTTGGTGTGTGTGTGTGTGTGTGTGTGTGTGTTTGTGTGTGCGTGCATCTGTCTGCCTGTCTGTCTGTCTCTCTGTCTGCCTGCCAGTTTCTTTCCATATCTTCACGTGATTGTGTCTGAAAGCATTTGTTTTCATCTATATCAAAATATCATTATAATTCATCGTTATTTGTTATCTTATCATAGATTATATCCTAATACGTACATGTCCTCTTGAGACAATCTACTGAGTGTAAGAGAAATCACATTTACTTCAGTCATTTTAAAGAAGAGATTTAGTTTCATAATCATTTTCGAAAAAAAAGCAATATTGAGGATATTGATAAGCCTAGTTATAGCAGTCTATCTACCGACCGTCAAGTTGGCAATTTATATCGGTGTGTCTCTCTCCTTTTTTTTTTTAGTGTGAAGATTAGGGATGGTTTTCCTACTGGATAATCTTTCTGGATTATCTTTAAATGTGGTATGCGATGACTCAGCAGTTTCTTCGAGACTCGGGGGGAGGGGGGGGGGCATGTAATATGGAAAGTTTTCTTGTGATTAAAGTTTGGAGATTATATTGGTGCTCTAGACACACGTTCGTTTTATTCATGGGGTTTGTGGTGATGGATAAGAGTGTGTGTGTGTGTGAGATAAGGATATATATTTTTTTTTGTAGTATGTGTTTTATTTATTTATTTTCGGTTATTTGTTCGTTGTTAGGGTTATTAGTGTAATGAGGCTCGTTGTTTTGTTTTTTATATTTACTTGTTTTATTTGTTTATTTTTGGGGGGGTTAGGGGGGTTGTTTATTATAACTAGGATCATTAGGGTCAGATATTGATTTAATTATGTTGTGGAGTTTATCATTTAATCTGGCTTTTCCCTTTTAAGTATTATTTTAGAGAAGAAGGAATTTTAAAAAGGCAACCCAGTCTTTACTCTTGGCAATAGTTCTCTCTCGGACTAAAAAGCAAAATGTAATGAGATAGAAGGAAAAGTTGGGGTTTATTGCTAACGAATAAATAACAATACAATAAAAATAATTTTGAGTTCAAAAGAAAGTGTATTTTTGTCCTTTAATTTGATGTCTAGGATTTGGGTTTGATTTCCAGGTCTTCTGTCCTTGCTTGTATCCTGTTTTAATTTTTTTTTTCTTCTCTCTCTCTTAAAAGTAAAGAAAAAAAAAACCCTGATTATTGCTTGTTGCAGAGAAGAACACTTCATTATCACCAAGATTGATTGCTGGGAATCCGGAATGAGTTCTATTTGTAACTGCTGTGGTTTATGTCCAGGAATGATGTATCAGCACTGGGGTTTTATTTTCTTTTGTGGTTTTATGTTGAGGTTTTAAATGAGGAAACTATGATAATGAGGCTTATTTTGCACATACAGAAGACTTTGGATTTTAAGAGGAAGGTGGTGAGAGATGGAGAGGGGTGGGATGAGAGGAGAGAGAGGATGAGGAAAAAATGAGGGAGGAGAGAGGAGAGAAAAATAAGGAGAGGAGAGAGAAAGAGAGTGAGAGAGAGAGAGAAAGAGAGTGAGAGAGAGAGAGAGAGAGAGAGAGAGAGAGAGAGAGAAAGAGAAAGAGAAAGAGAAAGAGAAAGAGAAAGAGAGAGAGAGAGAGGGAAAGAAAGAAAGCAAGAGAGAGAGAGAAGAGAAGAGAAAAGGAGAGAGAGAAAACAGAGAAGGAAATAGGGGAAAAAGTAAAAGAGAGAGAGAGCTGCTTCATTAGTGCGCATGAAGACACCCTAAGTTAAAGAAGGGTCATGGCAGCACAGATCATCTGGACTACAACTGGTTTGCTTGTTAATTTGCATTTGAGAGAGAGAGAGAGAGAGAGAGAGAGAGAGAGAGAGAGAGAGAGAGAGAGAGAGAGAGAGAGAGAGAGAGAGAGAGAGATATGCCTTGCTTTTTTAATTCTTTGTTCCTCTTTTATCTATGTTGATTTATTTGTTGTATGAGGCTGTCTGGAGTTGGAGGTTGCTAGTTCTGGATTTGCAAATATGGGGTAACCATATGTTGCATGTTATATTTTATAGGATGGTACTAGCCTATCTACTTATGGATTTTGTGCACACGCTTTGCTTTCTTTTTCGAAGGAAGTGTTTCATCGATAGAACTAACCTTATTTTGTCTCGTTTCAGGCTTGGATATTGGCATGTCAGGGTCACTGGATCGGCAGTCACCGCTGAACGTGACTCCAGACACTGCCCCCCTCCTGTCCCCCTCGCCCTCCAGTTACTCCAACACCAATGGTGGCCCGGCGTCTCCCAGGTGAGAATTTCTGCCCCCCTTTTCCCGTTTTCTTATTTTATTCTTTATTCAGGGATGTGGTAAGGGGGTGGGGGGTAGGGTTTTGATCAAGGGATACATATACACATAAACTGAAAGATTTGTGGGGTGAATTATTATTATTATTTTTTTTTTTATTTATTTTTTTTTGTCTTCTGCTGTTGATTGTCCTAATGATAGCATTGATTGCAACAGGTATTTTGACCTCCCCCCAAGCTATTTGAGAATGGCCAGCAAATAGGTCACACAGTTTTTTTTTTTTTTTTTTTTTTTTTTTTTTTTTTTTTTTTTTCGTGGTAGACTAGTTGGTATTTTTGATAGGAACAACTAAAGCTTTTTAAGTTCTGCCTTTGAGAGCTCATGACAGAACATTGTAATTTACAGAAGTATTGAATCAAGTTATATTTAATTCATTCATCATCTGCTGTTGGGACATTACACTTATACACCAGAGCATGTAGGAAAATTACTCTCTTGTCCAGATACAAAGGAAATTCACTCTAGGACATTGCAGGTGTCCAACATGCTAGAAGATAATGCAGATGGTAACAGATTTTGTCTGTGTTACAGCTTCTGCTCTCTACAGCCCTTAGAAGGCAGCTGTACATCTCCCATGTAAGCTTCCCTCTCCCCTTTCCCACGATATATCTATCCATGTGGCGTAACCCTTCCTCGGATTAAAGACACTTAGGCTGTGAGATATACTGACTGTTTTGAGCTTTTGTGTTAAAAGGATGGGGAGGAGTCTTGCTTGATGCGGGTTTTATGTAACTTCTACTCAGGCTCACATTTGCGGCATTTGTACGTGCTAATTAGAGTCATTTGTACGTGCTAATTGGAGTCATTTGTACGTGCTATTTGAAGTTAGTTCACGGCATTGAGGCATTTTCTTGATGTGCCTAGGATAGATGGGTAAACTGAGATTCCAAGTGGGAAGTAAAGTCAAATTACAGCCCTATGGAAATAAGGAGGCTTTAATAAAAGTTCAGATATCAGGGAGAATCCAGTTATTAAGAGTAACATGTCTAGTTTTAATAGAATGACGGCGCTCAGTATTCATTTTTGCGTACATCGTAAATGGAATCTGTTAAAGGTATAATGCAATTAAATTGTAGATCTGTTAATGGTTGTTTTGCATGTATTGTATTATATCTTCCTTTGTATATACATATATATTATTTTCATGTAAAACCCAGAAATATATGTTGTCAACCTTAACTCTTAAACATTCCTTGCATAAATTTTTTCTACACCTTCATAGGAAATAAATCTATTGAGTAGACATTTCTTCAAAGAGGAAAGCTTCTCAAATGCCCTGAAAATGACGTGACCCATAAAATTGTACAACGGCAATGCTGTCAACAAATCTCTTTCACTAAAGGCATCCAAAGTTTCTTTTTTTTCCTCCTGAACAGAGAATGATTTAATGTTTGCATCCGGCATTTTTCCATGTTGCATTTTACAGTTGTTTTGCTACACTCTCACTTACAGTCTTGATGTCCACGGTTCTTATTGAATGATAATGTATTTTGGGCCAGGATAAAGTTAAAAGCTCAATATAACATGAATTCATTTTATTACTAAGATTGTTTTATATAGTAATGTACTTTGGTAGTGAATAAGGTAGAATATCAATATTCAGTGGAACATATTTTTTTCCATTTTTAAATGTGATACTTTTTCAACTGATCAAGAATTGGTTGTAAGGTTTTCCAGTTATTTATATGTCTGTATAACTATGTTTTAATATTTTAATAGGTGGTCATTGTATCCATGTTAATCAAAGTAATATGTATATTATTTTCCTATTTCTTATTATTACTTTATTTGATTTAACATTTTTACTATTGGGTTTTGTGTGTGTTTATGCATATGTAAAAAGAATTTATGTCTATCTTTAGAACAGGATATGAATATGGTATGAGATGTATATTATGTCTATGCACACTTTTTTTTTCTCCTATTTGGTAGTTATTTTTTCAAACATAAGAACCAATCTTTAACGATATTGACTCATCACTTCCCTGTCCACAGTGTGCCGACCCCATCCTTCACCATCGGGTCGAGTGGTAACGTGATAAACTCGAGTAATGGGAGCAGCAACCTCAGCACGTCGCCCAGCCAGTACCCCCCGAACCACCCTCTCTCGGGCTCAAAGCACCTCTGCTCAATTTGTGGCGACCGTGCTTCAGGGAAACACTATGGCGTCTACAGGTGAGGGAGAGAGAGAGACGCCTGTGCGGTTTGCTGTGTTGTGTTTGTTGGTGGAATATGTTATGTATGCGAGGGGGATGTTGTTATGGATTCTTCATCGGGTTTGTCAATAGTGGGTTGACTTTCGTTGAATTACTTGGCTGTGTGATATTGTGTCCAGATCTATCTCTGAGATAGATCTGGACAGGAATTTAATGTTATGCCTGTCTGCTAATATTAATTTTCTGATCATGCAATTAAAAGAGATTCTTTGCATATTGCAGTTGTGAAGGTTGCAAAGGGTTCTTCAAACGTACAGTGCGTAAAGACCTCACATATGCCTGTCGAGAAGAAAGAGGCTGTACGATTGACAAGAGACAGAGGAACCGCTGCCAGTATTGCCGTTACCAGAAGTGTTTGTCGATGGGCATGAAGCGAGAAGCGGTCCAGGTAGGGGCAGCAGAGGTGGGATTTGTTGTTCTGCATTGGGCAGGCATCCGTTGCTTTCTGTTGTTTGCATGATTGTTGCATGACCATGTTGGATTGGGAGCTGTGCTGATAGGATGAATAATACAAAAAAAAATAAAAGTATAAGAAAATTAGAAAATTACTCTCTAGCACATGAGACATAATATGATATATAAATGCACAAAATTGTTATTTTTTCCCCACACATGTGAGAAAATGATCATCATGATATGGAAATATGGTACAAAAATCGAATCAAATGCACCTCGGTAGAATTGATCTAAGAAGCACTCCCACGCAGCTCTCCATCCACCATAAAGCCAGATGTACGGCAGGAACCTCTTCCTCTGGCACTCCAAGCTCAGGATGCCCACAAGAGCAGACGTGGTTTTGTGTCGGTGGCTCTGACTTGCCGTTCCTTCCTCAAAAATGCCGAAACCAGAGGAAAAGGACCCTGCGGTACAGATGTGTTGTTCCCTAAACCCCCATTACCCCCCCCAGTCTTCATTTCTATTGGCTAATCTGGTGTACAAATCTGCAGGAGGAACGACAGCGGACAAAGGGAGATAAAGAAGTCGACACAGACTCAGCGCTGGGTGGCGTCAACGACATGCCCATTTCACAAATCCGTGACGCAGAACTCAACTCAGACCCCACAGATGATCTGCTGTTTGAAGAAGGGGTAAGTTAGCTCTCTCTCTCTCTCTCTCTCTCTCTCTCTCTCTCTCTCTCTCTCTCTCTCTCTCTCTCTCTCTCTCTCTCTCTCTCTCTCTTTCTCTTTCTCTTTCTCTTTCTCTTTGTACATACATACATATCTCTGTCTGTCTATCTATATCTATATCTGTCTGTACCCTTATCTTTATTTATATGTATCTTTATCTTTATATCTATTTTTATCTCTATTTATTTATATTTATATTTATATCTATCTCAAAGTTATTCCTACTTATTTATATCTGTACCTATGTCTATCTTCTTATATCTATATCTATACCTGTATCTGTCTATCTATCTATCTCAATCTATATCTACTTACATCTGTATCTGTACCTATATATATCTCTCTGTCTAGCTAGATGAGACGGAAAAATTAATATACTACAACATTATACACAGTGTTTATGCAACTGATGCTTTATATTTTAAGCCTTATAGAAAATAAGCAATACAGTAAGTCTCCAACTTAAGAACATAATGGGGACCGAGAGGCTGTTTGTAAGTTGATTTGTTTGTATGTCGAAAGTCGGGTCTCCATTACATTTTTTCCCATTGTTTTAAAGTTTTGTTTACATTAAGAATACCTGTAAATAAATCCCAATCAGTACGACATACCTTATACAGTACCAGACTCTTGAACTATATTGGCGCCCGGAAAATTTGAAGTTTGCTAGCATCTTTCAAACAATTTTTTGGACTTTAGTACTTAAAAAATTTAGTTTGTATGTATGGAATATTCATAAGTAGAATGTTCTTAAGTAGGGGACTATCTGTAGATGATTATGATAAACAACAGTGAAAAATCAAGGAAGCCACAGTCTTTCTCCATAAGACAAGCAACAAAAGTAAAGCAACAAAAACTATGTCAAACTCAAAGTCAATGGAGAGATCATATCTGTTTCTGAAACAATTTAGCTCACTGCTTTATCGTTAAGCAGTGTAAAATCTCGATATCATATAATCTTTTTCTTTCTTTCTTTCTTTCTTTCATCCTCTTCAAACTAACGTCTCTAACCCAATATCAAACGTTTTACCTTCCCCTTTCCTCCCCCCCACAGGACGCAGTCAGCCACATATGCCAGGCTGCCGACAGACACTTAGTACAGCTGGTTGAATGGGCAAAGCACATCCCACACTTCACAGAACTGTCCGTGGATGACCAAGTGATACTCCTCAAAGCTGGTAAGTCTTTTGTGCGTGTTTGGTTGTTAGTTTGCGTTTGTTTTGAAGGTTGGTTCTTTGTTGATGTGTGTTTGTATGTGTGTTTGGTTTGTTGATTAATCAGTTGACCTGTTTGTTTGTTTTTTTGGTTTATATATTTATTGAATTATTGCGTGTGTGTGTGTTTGTAAGTGTGTGTGTATGGAAAGAAAATATTTCTGTTAAAGAAGACTGCCTTGTATTGAGATCCTTCATTATAAATAACAGAGTTCATGTTTGCATTCACTTATTTAAAGGAATGAGCAGAAGTCAGAAAAAGACTGCAACTCTTTATTAGTGAAATATTACTCTGTAATGAATGAGTAGAGGGTTATAATAGATTATTAAAAATGTTCATGCAGTTGATCAGGATTCAGACTTATGTGGTAAAACTGATGTGCTGTGGTTTGGAAAAAGGAAAAACAGACCTAATGCTGTAAAAAAAGAAGTAAAATTGTAAAAGAAAATTCTGGTACATTGAAGTGTAGTTCTGTGACTTTTTTTTTCTTTAAGCCTCATTATTATAATTATTATTATTATTATTATTATTATTATTTATTTTTAATTAGTTAATTATTATTTATATTTGATTAATTGATTATTTTTTATTAGAACTGTTTACACTAAACTTTTTTAAAATTCCATGGTTACCGTTGCAGGTTGGAATGAGTTGCTAATTGCATCCTTTTCACACCGAAGCATGGGAGTCAAAGATGGCATTGTCTTGGCTACAGGATTAGTGGTAAGCTTCTTTGTGTCCTTTTCCTTGAGGTGGCTTTGTGGTTGGTTAAAGTACGATGTTTCCTGCTTAGAGATTTAAGGATGTTGAGTTAATGCGGAAATGCGTTTGAACTGGTTATACATTTCTAAAAAAAATTTTACTTATCTATTTATTTTTCCTCTCTGTTTTTTATTACTTTTTTTTATCACTGTTTATCTGTCTTATGTCAACAGGTCCACAGAAGCAGTGCCCATCATGCAGGCGTGGGAGACATTTTCGACCGGGTGTTGTCAGAGCTGGTGGCCAAGATGAAGGAGATGAAGATGGACAAGACAGAGCTGGGATGCTTGCGTTCCATCGTCCTTTTCAACCCAGGTACCCTTTGCAGTCCCTTCGCTGAATGGGGTGTACAAGACATAGCTTCTCATTTCTGTCTGTCTCTCTTTTTCTCTCAATGGGTGTACTAAGAATCAAAATTTTTTGGGTAGAAGGTTTTTTGTGTTTTCTTTTCTTGGTAGGGAGGTTTAACGAAGGTAGTACTTGAGGAGGAGCCATAGTTGTGGGATTTTACAAACGGTGCATAATGAGGAGAGAGGGAAGAGCAGACCTTTTGGCTTAATTTCTTCCTCTGGGCTTCTTAATAAGGTCTCTGCTGTATCATGTGTTTCACTTCTTTCCCAAATAAGTTGATACTAACTACCATGTAAAATAAATGGATGTGTGTCATTTGATTTTTCTCTGATTTCTTTTTTGCTTTACATTGTTGTGCATTTCTTTTCCGTCCAGATGTGAAAGGACTGTCTGCCTGCGAAACCATTGAGGTTCTACGAGAGAAGGTCTATGCAACACTAGAGGAGTACACTCGGACCAGCTATCCCGACCAGCCAGGGCGATTTGCCAAGTTGCTTCTGCGGCTTCCTGCCCTTAGATCGATAGGACTGAAGTGCCTGGAATATCTCTTCTTGTTCAAGGTAAATTGCCTGTTGTGAGCAAGTTTGGCAAAGAAGCACTAATTTTTTCTTTTCATTTGTGGAAATGTTATTGTGATTTAGGGAAATATTGCCAACTTTCATGTCTCTTCTTTTTTATTTTATTTGGTATGTCATTCTGTTTGCAATGTCCATTTGTTTTTTAATTTCCTGTATACTGTTTTCTGATTAGAAAAATGGACATACTTGTGCATTATACTAATGTTAGTACTTGAACTTGGGAAAATATCTTACGAAACTTGAGCTTGGTAAATGATAATTATGTACAGAAAATGTATGTAATGGGAGACTACTTGTTTTTATTCTTTATTTCCATCTGAAATTGTGGTAACGGGGGAAGAAGGAATACATAACCACATTCAATATTTCCTTTTCAGTTGCTTGGGGATACGCCACTGGACAACTACCTGATGAAGATGCTTATGGAGAATCCCAACAGTTCCTCTCCCACAACCTAGAAGATTTGCAGAGAGCTTTGAGGATGCGCATTTGTTTTTTTCACTTTTTCGTATAGGGAGAAAGCAAGAGACAGAAAAAGAGAGAGAGAGAGAGAGAGAGAGAGAAAACAGTACTTGTGATTGTCACTGTACTTGCCACACTCATTTTCTTCTTATGATTATGGAAAGAGAGCTGCTTGCTTGCAGTCTTTGACAAAGAGTGTTAAACGGAAAAATGTATTTGCCTGAAAATTTGGTTCCTTGTTTTCATTGTCTGGGATGCGTTGCAAAACTACCTTCAAGTTACAGCAGTGAGAATGGGAAGAGATAAGGAAAAGAAATTAATCCCGAAAATCTACAGTCGCATACATGCACTCACTCACTCTTTCACTACCTCATTCATTAATTTGTTCATCCATGCGCTCACTCATAAATTCATCCATTCATCCATTCATTCATCTCTTCATTCATTTATTCAGCCATTCACATGTGTGCACATACAAAAACACAAAAATACACAATCATACATCTATACACACTCTGTCATACTCTGTCACTCCTTCATACTCATATTCGGACAAAGACTCACAGTCGCACTCACATTTACACACACACTTTTGACGCTGATGTGAAGATGGTTGAGATTACAGTACATTAGAGAGCGTAGGCTAACAAAAACAGCTGAGTGTACAAATGTTTCAAGGAATTGTTTTCGAAGCTCTTTATTTTTTGGTGTATTTACAGTTCTGTTGTCAGAAGCAGGCAAAGAATCTAGTGATATAAGTGTACATGCTGAGCAGTTTTTATGGTGGCAAATTCATAAGTAGAGCAAAAAAAATGTATTTTGTTATTTTGAGAAGTACATCTTTATATGAGTATTGTAGTTGAAATTTTAACAGGTTTAGATTATTTGCAGTTACCGGTGAAACTATAGACTTTCTTTTAGTAGTCGTAGAGGTGTCAAAAGAGAGAAAGAAAACAAAAAATTGCTAATGCTTCAAGTAATTACGTAATGTAAGATATTTTTTTATAATAAAAGAAATACAGATAAGACTTTTTGATCATCTGTTGAAAAAAAAAAAATCTTAGCGGTAGTTTTGTTAAACAAGAGTTTGTTTTTTTTTCTGCAATTTCAAGTTTAGCAACACGAAAAGAATAAAGTAAAAAGAAATTTAGCGTTTTGTTTCTGGAAATGATTTTTTGCAGATGGTAAAAGTACAAATGGGAAGCTTTCTGTTTTTTTTGTTTTTGTTTTTTTTTTGTATTTGGTCCTTGCAATTTTGAACAATGCATTTCTGTCATAGAGTATATCCCATCGTATAATGGTTCGTTCATCAAACTCTCCCTTTATTTTTGAAAATTACTCGGAAAATGTTGTAACAAACTAACCCAAGGTCAATTTGGGACGTAAGCTTGATCCTGCTGTTCAGATAAATTTGTTTTAACACGTTGCAATGCCTGTACATTCATGGTCTCTTGGCTCTGGCACTCCGTGGCACCAGAATAAATTGCGAATGTTTAGTTGAAGGTGAGAGTCGAGACGGAGGTGCTGTGGTAAGACAGTAGTTTATTCCCATGTCAGTAGAATACTATCGGGCAGTTATGGATTATTTTGAAAATGTCGGAAAGATAAATGTGGTTCTTGTTTTCCTCTTCACAACCCATTCAAAAGTAATTGAATAAATATGCTATTATAAGTGTTTGAGATGTATTGTTCATAAATGTCAAACTATAAGTTCGTTTGCTTGTTAACTAAGCTTGCATGCTTAAGTACAATCATCTCAGTGTAACTGTGTATATAGAGTATCATTGTTTCACATTTCATTTCATATATATATCACTAAAAAGGAAAAAAAGTTTCTACCGATGAAAAACTCCAGTCCTATTTTTTTTCTTTCTTTCTTTCTTTTTTCTTTCATTCTTTCCCTCGAACTGATTATTATTCGTGCAATTGTGTGGATGTGACTTGCAGTTTATCAGGTTGCACATTTTTGCCATTTTTTTTTTTGTCTGTTGAGGTCAGATCCATTTTTCTTTTTTTTTTTTTCTTTTTTTTTTTTTTTTTTACATGTAGGCAAGTCACATAGTTGTACTTTGTATGTATATTTCTTTCCTCGTGGTAGCTGTGTTCCTTGAATTGATGTATATGTTAAGACTTCAAGGGTCAAAGGAACCTTTTTTTTTTTTCTTTTCTTTTTTTTTCTTAATCATCTGTAAGAGAAAGAATTGTCTGTAAATATTCAAATGTTAACATTAAGTTGTCTTTATGCACAAATGCAGATATCTGGCCCTTGAATAACCTGGTATTCAACTGGTATACAGTATTTATTGTTCTGAAAAGCTGTGTAAAAATGCAATTTTTTTTTTTCTTTTTTTCTTTTTTCCCCTCTATTCTTGTCATCACTGAGGCGGCTTAATATTTAATTATTCTAAAGGTGATGATTAATTATATTATATATATATATATATATATATATATATATATATATATATATATATATATATATATATATATATATATATATATATAATAGTTTTTTTCCTTTTTTTTTCTCTTTTTTCATCTCCACAAATGAATGGTTGTGAAGTTTCTGCCTTGAGCTCCTCAAAGCAGTTGCTAGTTTAGCCTGAGTAGCACAGATTTGCTCTTTGTAAAATAAATCATTTTTATGGAATCACTTGTTACTGTAGCATTTACATGTAATTAATCATATGTTTTGGTTCCTGTAGTTCAAAGTTTGACATAGGAATGTTTGAATGTCCTTTGATGTCTCTGTTTGGAATATATTTAAGAATACCAGAGTTGCTCTCCTGTTGCTAAAAAGGCATAATAAACAGAAAGTAACTGTTAAAGCCATTATTATTTTTATCTTAAGCTTGTATAGTTTGTCATGTTCTTAATAATTTACTGTGCTAGGATTTCCAATACTTTTTTTCCTGATATTCTTCTCTTTTAAGATATAATTATGCTTAATGTAATGTATATTACTTATTCTACTGTGGTGATAGGAATGTGTAGAAGTCTTTTTTTTTTTTCTTTCTTTCTTTTTTTCTTTTTCTTTTTATTAGAGTATTTAGTGATTTTACACTTTTGTAACTATACATTTTTGGTTTTATTTTGAGTGTGAACTTCGAAGCCCAGTGCTCAAGATTAACGATACAGCAAGCCCAGACTCCTTTTCCTATAAAAAAAAAAGGTTAATCATTTGCATAGATGTTTGCAAAATTTTAAAAACTCAAAAAAATTAAAAATAAATAAATAAATAAAGAAGAAATAAGGTAGCTGTGGGCATCTATGATAAATTACAAATAAATAAAATAAAACTTCAAAAAAAAAAAAAAAAAAAAAGCAGGATATGTTTTTTTGTAAATAGTATTATCTTTTTAAGTGTTGTTGTTATAAAGCTGGAGACTATATGTGTATATGAATAACAATTACCCTTGCAATTTCAGGATAAGGGTTATGCATAACTTTACTGCAGTGCTTGACAGTATACAATATTTAAAAAATAAAAAAAAACACAAAAAAAAATGATAAAGTTAAAAAAATTTAAGTAAACCATACCAAGAAGCTCGTTATCCTCTGCCTCATCAGGTATTGAAATGTGGTTGATAACTTTGTCCAATCCAGTTTTTTGCCTACTGAAAGGTACGTTAAAATAAAAGCATTTAGTGCTGGTAGTTTTATTTTCATTATCCTTTTCCAAGAGTGGTTTTTACTTTTTATATATATTATTTTTATATATATATATTTTTTTTTTTAATAATTTATAGTATTATTTTTATCATTTTATGAAGTACAATACTATGAAAGTTGGGAGTTTAATATACTAAATTCACATATGAACTGCAAGTGTTCTGTAAAGAGTATCTTTAATCCATTTGCCCTGAGTTTATGTGAACTGTCCACTGTATTTTTTTGTTGCACACTGGTGGCTCCTAAAGTACTCAGCCTCCAAGTAGGCCCTAGTGACAATGCCTGATTGCCCTATTCCTTAACTTTGTGGATTATTTTTTCTTTTTTTTCTGTTAATCTTGATATTTTTATTATTATTATTATTATTATTATCACTGACTTTGTGTTGTATTAAACTATTATTAAAATATCAGTAATAATAATGATAAACTAAAGAAAAAAAAATCTGAGAATCAAGGAAAAAAAAAAAAACAGGTGAGAAAGGATCCTTAATTTATTTATTAATCAAAAATTTTCTGCCACATCAAAATCTAAGGTCACTAGTGGTGTATTAAAAATATAGCATTAGGGGCGGGGCTTGCGGTCAAGAAAGCTTTTTGGTTTATAAGGCATTTATGGATCCCCAGAATGGTTAATGGATAAAACAAGTGTACTAAACATCAAAGGTTATAGGGCATTCTGATAAAGTATTGTGGCAAAGAGGGTAAAATGAGTTAACAATTAGAATAAGTGGACAGAAGGGGATAAAGAAAAGAAGGAAAAGAAAAGGGGAGAAGAAAAAAAAAATGCAAAACACAGAAAGAGAGAGAGAGAGAGAGAGAGAGAAAGAGAAAGAAAGAAAAAGAAAAAGAAAAGAAATATAGAAGACCCTCGTGCTCTCATGCTATGAACCCCCAACAAATTCAACTTACTTGGCAACCTTACATATTCAAATTGTCAGTGACCCTCTGACATAAAATTTAGAAATCAATGTGTAAATACATCTGGAAATCACATTCTTCTCTTTAAAGTTACTGACATAACTGATGGATATTGAATAAAACAAGTCATGAAAATAAGAATCACTATTTATTGCTGTCATATATAAATTTCAATGCCTGTAAATAAAACATATATGTATATACATCTGAATTGAAAACAACATAGTACTCTACTATATTAAAAAAAAAAAAAGAAAACAAATTCTCTGTAGAAAAAGTTATATAAAGGAAAAAATAGCTGTCATGATGGAAAGTTAATAATAAATGCCTACTGTTCCCAAACATAAGGAAATAACAACCAAGAAAGAATAAGAGATGATGGTTCTAACTAAATTTGGCTTCTGAGGAGTCACTGGTGGTCCAACTCTCCGATAAGAGCAATGGCTTCAATCTCCACTTTTCCTCCCTGTAAAAAAAGAATCAATGAATCAATAAAAAAAATATAATAGTAACAAAATTAATAAAAGATAAAACAAAAAAAATACAGGTTTTATAATCAGATGAAATAAACTGCTTGTAAACTATGATCAAAGTATCATTCCCAATCTGACTTGTGTACGATTTGAAAATTATATATGTTAATTGTGACAAATATACTATTCCACATCATAGAGTGATTCTTCTTATTCCTTTTAAAAACTGTTTATAGATCCATGAATTGACAAGAAAAAGTCACCAAATAATATTACAATAAAAATATATCATTATAGATGGACCAAAAATATAAAAATGTACAACAGAGAGAAAATATGAGAATTATACCTTTGGAAGATTAGCAACTTGGTAAGCTGCACGGGCTGGCACTGCCTCAGAGAAGACTGTAAAGGGAAATAAGAATAAAGAGTGTTTAGAGTATAATGAGAAAGTAAGAAAAAAAAAGAGGGGGGAAAAAAATATATACATATACATACATATATATATATATATATATATATATATATATATATATATATATATATATATATATATATATATATATATATATATATATATATATATATATATATATATACACATTTTATTTATAAATATAAATATTTTCTATAAAGAAAAATCTAGAGTTTTAGCAGTGAGGAAAAACTATCAAATTCCAATTTGAGCATCAATAAAAAAATATATATAATAATAATAATAAATATATAAGTACAAAATAAACAATGAAAATAAAGAAAGGTACTTTATATCTTACCATAATGGAATTCAATAATTTGAAAAACAATAATGTACAATAATTGTAACTCTCTTTGTTAATACTCACACGAGGCATACACTTCATTCACTTTTGCAAAGTCATTGATGTCAGCTAACAGCACTGTTGTCTTCACCACTGAAATGAAGATGCATATAACATTAATTACTGATTCATAACATACAACATATAACATATAACATTAAACATCCCACTGATTCCTATTAAAATCACAAACACAAAACGCGTGAATATCCACTGGTAATAAGCATAAACCCCACTATGGACTTGCCTAATTATAATACTTAACCATTGTCTTATTATCAACTACATGAAATTCAAGCATGAAATACCATATTACTACTTGTATTGCTACAGAAATGAGCAATGCAATTGGTGATAAGATAGATATTTTCTTTCCTGTACACTTTTTTAGCTTCTCATTAGCAGTTGCAGAAAGATTTTGGACTTGGAATCAGAATCAGAAAAAGAAGAAGAAGAAGAAGAAGAAAAAAAAAAGATTTAGGCAACAGGATTTTCTTTTTTCTTCTTCTGGGAAGGAAGGCAATTTTTAGCAATTTTATATAGAAAAGTAAGGTAAAAACCCAAATTATTGGAAAATGTGATAATTCATGGTTAGATTACAGCAGCTGTGGGATATTCAAGTAAGAATTACCAATTTCTGACTTGCATTCATTTCAAGAAAAATGAGCAATAAGAAAAAAAAACAGCAAAAATATCTTGGTGATTTTTTTTTGTAAACTCACTTTTTGTATTTCTAGCTCCAACAGCATTGCCATAATATGCAAAGCAAAAAGTCACCCAATATGAATTTTTTTGAAAGGCTGTTGCAATTTCTACTCTGCGACACCCTCCTCCTCCTCCTCCTCCTTCTCTCCCCACTGAACAACCTCAAAACCACTCTCTCCATTCTTCAGCAAAAAGAATTACCCACAAACATCCCCACTCAAATACCCACTCAACCTCACTCACCGTTTCTGTACGTGCACCCGGCAGCCTCGAGAATATAGCCCATGTTGGTAAGGGCGGTCTTGGTCTGCTCGACCACATCTTCGCTGACCAAGTTGAGCGTCTTTGGGTCTAGGCCGAGTTGCCCGGAGATGTAGAGAGTGTTCCCTCCCTGCACGGCTTGGCTGAGGAGAGAAAAAGGGGGGTTTTCAGAAGCTGGTCGTGACTAATGGACAAGTAGCTATAATTGACAGTCATGCAGGAATAAATCATTGGTCATAATGGTCATGTAACATCGGGAATAAGTCATTAGTCATAATAGTCATGCAACTTCAGGAATAAATCATTAGTCATAGATTTTCTTATAGGAAGCAAGTTGTAGTTCTATCTTCCCAAATATAGGCAGAAGACATTTGTTGGCCTTTGCTGGAGCATAAGGGCTTGAAGGCCATAGAGAAAGAGAGAAAGAGAGGAAGGGAAAGAGTGAAAATAAGAAAAAGGGAGAGAAAAAGAAAATTGAAAGGGGTAAAGGAAAAGAGAGTGAGTGAATGAGTTAGCAGGTGAGTAAGTGAATAAGTAAGTGAGTAAGTGAGTGTGAGTGAGTAAGCCAATGAATAAATGTGCTTGGATAACTGAAAGTATGATTGAGTAAATGTACGTGAATTACTGACTGTGAAGTGTGCACAAATAAATGTAAACTTATGAATGTCTCTCGCCTGACCAATAAACGAGTAAAACGAATCAATTATTTTAACAAATGAGTGAAATTAAGTGAATAAAACACTCACACCTTGAAACACAGACACAACCTATACAAATAAACTCATCCCACCCTTAAAATAATGAAACCAAACCTACAATTTACTTAAATACCAATCCAACACACAGAAAAAAATTAACATCACATTTACACCTTTATTATATCCAACAATTACAAATAAAAAAAAATATATATAAAAAAAGCCCTCACCTATAAGCACCAATAGCAGCAGGTGCCTTAGAAGTGGAAATAACCTTCCTCACAATCTTAGAAGCCATTTTCACAGACACAAAATATAAGTAACTCTCTAAACTCTTCGTAGTTAAGAAAGTCACTGTTAAGTCTTATAGGATCTTATGGGGTCCCCTTCCCTTGGTTATTGAGAGCTAATCTTTTTTCCCTATTATTCTCCCCTTTTCTCGTCTCTTAGTGCCTATAATTCGTGTGTGAGGAGTCCAGGATGAATATTTTCTTTTCTCGAGATTGTCATTAGGCTATTTTATTCATTTCGGGTTATATTTGGGGGTTAAAA